TTTTAACTATATCAAAATAGTCATTTGTTTAAAAATGTGATAACAATTTTCCAAGGAAGTGAATTTCTTTTATAAAGTATTGGCTAAAGAGTTTTAATCATTTACCTCAGTCTTTGGTGTATTTGAAACATTTATTTATATGATGTACCACTAAATATTCATCAGACTTTACGTTTGGGTCCTTATTAATAAAATTTTAAATTGTAATCAAGTTTTTTTTAAGTGATGATTGTAAAATAAATATTTTGTAAGCAATACGTATACCATCTGGCAGATATAGACAATTTTCCATATTTGGTAATATTGTAAAGTGGGCAAGATAAAACGAATGTAATGATTGGATGCATTTATCATTTTGCACCCAAAGTAGCGCACTATGAAGTGACACCTTACAACTGCCCATTTTATACACATAAACAATAGTCATACCAATGCATTGTACTGTACATATGTTATAATATTAAGTGTAAGTTTTTTTTTTTTTAATCTTGAAGAAACTGTTGAAAATTGTTAAATAGACTGTTGTGAAATTTTCTGCAATTTTTAGTAGCCCTGATTTATCTTCAACAGATTCTTTAGTGGTGATTACCCTGCTCTTTGAATTTAGGTTGAAATATTCCTGGGAGTGACCCGAGTGGGTCATATTGTTTTAATTGTTTTTCTTAGAAAGATCAAAAGATGTTGAAAATGTACCAACCTTAAAATGAGATGCATTAATAGCTAAAATAAATTTAAAGCATAATTTACCATTCCATTTATTATTGGCTAAAAACTTCTTAACTGATTGAATATTGGTTGTTCCGGGATACATATTCAAAACGCCGACAAAACCGTTTCAAGAAACATCATTTACCGTTCGGACATTTGCACCAATGTCCCTTTTGTTTGAAATTCATAGCTTTGACTATCATAATCTTCTCTTCCTCTGAAACACCTAGACCGCTTTGAGGTAGAGCATCCTTTAGTTCTTTCAGGCAGGATTCTACGGTACTGCGAACTTGTTGTTCATATTTCCGGCTTCCTTTAAGTACACTCTCAGCCTCTGATATCTTTGCTTGAAGAGAACTATCTATGTCTTGACCTATGTCAGTAGCTTGTTGCTTATATGATAATAACTTCTTAAGGTCATATGATCTTGAAATTTCAAGCTTTGCATCGGAAAGTTCCTCTTCGGTCATAAAAGACCGATCCTGCATGACCCAATACTGGAAACGCTGTAAAAACTCAAGCGCCGTTTCAAGATCGTCCTTTAAATGTTCACGCTGCACCTGATCCTTCCACTCTTTTGCCAATTTCAAGATTGCTTTCAAAAGTGACAGCTGATTCAGCAATGCTACTAAAGTATTTTCAGACTTCAGTTCTTTCATCGCTCTAATTTTCCGTTCAACTGATTGTGCAATTGTTTTATCTTGAACTTCAAGAAGTGCTTGAAGTATTTTATTTTCTAATTCCTTCACTAGCCCCTTATCAGACAATTTTTTTTCTTTCACTTTCTCAATGTCGAGAAGAGTCTCATTAATAATATGTCTATATCGATTACTTTTCCTTATTGGCGTTTTACATTTTGGACACTCTTTCAGTTTTATTTTACCATCATTGTTTTTCTGATCCATATAATTATCCATAGCATTTGATTCAATGATACATTTAGCTCTACAGTCTTCAAGCAGTACAAACATTGCATCAGGTTCGTCTTCATTTCCAAAGAATATTTCGGTGACCGTCTGTTCATTACATACTCTACAATCAGTAGGACATGGTTCTCCGCATAGACCAATGCATGGATGGCCACAAGCAAGCAACTTCTTGCATGGCTGGTCACATCTCGCTCGGTCACATGGCTCACTGCAAAGTTTACCACACTGTAAGTGTTCACAGTTCCAAGTACATTTTTCCTTACAAGGTACACACAATTCTCCACACCGCTTAATACATTTGCTATGTTGACATCTATTTTCACATATTCTTGTACATGGCAGGCATAGGTTGCATTTGTTAGTACATTCATGATCACATACCAATATTCTTTTGCACTGGTATTCACACGGCTTATGCAATCGACCTTGGAAACATTCTGCACATGTTCCTGTGCAAGGATGTTCACAAGCTAAGATACCACCACATGGCTCTTGACACATAGCACTGTCTTTTTTGTAGCATTTGACATTGCCTATATGTCCACATGGAAACGTCTTTTCAACATCGATATCGCAAACCTCTGTATGGGGCATATGACATTTTGCTTGACATTTATGACCGCAGTCTAGTATATGTTTACACTCGGGTTCAGTTGAGTCACTTAAAGTAGAACCTTGCTGACTATTACCGGTATCAACTTTGTCCATCGTGGAAGACAAAAGACACTGTAAACAACATACACGTGTTAAATAAAATAAGTTTGAAGAAAACTTTAATGTTCTAAATAAAAGTAAAAAGAGCACCAATCAATTGTTTAACAAGAGCAACCGCTAAACAATGCCCACGCTCGATTTTCTTTTCTTATTTTCTAATTTCTAAAGACAAATGTATAGAAGGAAGAAATTTGTGGTAAAGAATACTACTAGAAAATATCCCTTTGGTACAAAATATAAGTAAAATTTAATATTTGGCCTTGACAGCCCAGGTCAAGTACAGATAAAGGTTATACTTGATACATTATTCATTTTCATTAGTGTTGTTTGCATATTAATTTTTGCTAACTTTAATATTTTTACTTTGTCATGATTATAATTTTTTGAGAAATTCAACATGTCGGTTTTGTCATAAGATTTAAATAATTTTACCTTCACGGTCAAGATCAATTATGGTCAAGTTTATAGTGTAACAATTTACCATTTCGGTTTTGTCCTTTGTGTTCTTTCTTTGTCTAAATATAAATCTTTTGTAAATAATTAACTAAGCTCAAAGGGATAAAAAATCTGGAAACAAATGATTCCTCGGAAGCATTAATCACAACAAAATTACAAGAGAATTGCATACTCGGTTTGATTGAGTCTGTACAAGAGGGATACTGAAAGCGTGCAACATCCCTTACGCCCCCTAGCACCGGATTTGACCCTACCGACCGCTACCCACTGCCCACTCTTTCAAGTCCCTGTTACAACCGCCAAAAATATGATTTAAAGTCAAAGTAAATTTCCTCATTAAGAAGTCATAACTAAAATAATATGACACTATTACAGAATTTACATTATACCTCTTTAGTATTAGTTATACAAGGGAAGCAACTCCTACGCCCTTCCAGTGCTTTGATTCTACCAAAGTTAACATTCAATTTAGCCAAAATCTCTATATATTTTTAAAATCTTAGTCTCGACAATAGAGTATAGATATATCTATGCAATGACATCTTCCATATTAAGCAGTGTAAAGTTTTTGTTTTATACAAACACCAAAACAGTCGGGACCATGAATTTTGACAAGATCTTAATCACGTAAGCAGTGAAATTTTTAGGACTGAATCGCTAAGTGGAGACAATGTTGCGTGAGAAAAAACATTGCATCTGTAAAAACTAAACAATCGATGACACACACCAACGAAAATCCCGTCCAAATCTATTTTATACCAGGAACTGGAGGGAGGGGGTAGCAGCCGGTAGGGGACAATATCAGATCAACGCGTCTTATCCCTGTGACTAAGCTACGGCAATTAAAATAAAAAATCAAGAAAATTTCAAGCATTTGACCTTCAGAGTCAATGTCATTGATCAGTGAAGGTTATACTTAATTTGATCTACTTAAAGTCTTTTCAAAAGGATTGTTGTGTCCAAGTGTGACGACAATAAAGTCATAAATTTTAAAATGTCAGTGCCAATAATAGCAAAATCAAGCAAAATTCAAAACGTTTACCTTAAAGGTCATTTATGAGTCAATGTGAAGTTCAGTCTTTACTTGAAGGTTTTGTAAAAAAGGTTGTTGTGTTAAGTAAAAAGACAATCCTTGAGAAAATATAAACAAAATGACCAATGTTAAGTTTCTGGACGACAACAACGGGTAAAGGTAATCGCAACGGGTAGGACGACATGATTGTTGCAAAAGCTTGATTTTCTTTTTCTTCGATTAAGTCGAGTTTAAGTGGAGCTGGATATATTTATCATCATCTAGATAGATTGTTAAAAAATGATGTTAAGAGATTAACTTAATACTTTATATTTATGAACATCAATTTATCAGAAACAAAAAAACAAATATTCTCAAATAGTACTAGTACATGTATCTACCTGCACGGCATCGTTGTTAGATGACGTCTGGATATCCCTACATTTCTTTGGAGGTACGTCAACGACACCACTATCTTGCATGTCATTGTGAACTCTTTATACAGTAAAATAACCACATTTAGTAAGTATGGACGATTTCATAAATTGTAAGAAATAATTGTTTTACGTTTCATTTGACGTTAATGTAAGTTTAAACAAGAGGGCCATGATGGCCCTGAGGTCGCTCACCTGTATATTGCCCCCCCAACCCCCCCCAACCCCAAACGTTACAGGGCCAATTTAACCCAAGGCCTTTCATTTGCACAAACTTGGTAGACATCCATAAGAAGATGTTTCATGCTAAACATCTAAGCTCTAGCTCATTGGGCTTTTTAAAAGAAGATTTTTTTAAAGTTTTTACTATACACATTATAGTTAAAAACAATGACACCCCTGGGGCCGGGCCAGTTTTGACCCCAGGGCTTTTACTTGAACAATCTTTGTAGACACTTACTAGAAGATGTTTCATGCTTAATATCTAAACTCTAGCTATTTGGGTTTTTTCAAAGAAGATTTTAAGTTTTTGCTATACACATATAAAGAAAATTAATGACCCCCGGGGCGGGGCCAATTTTGACCCCAGGTCTTTTATTTGAACAAACTTGGTAGACACTCACTAAAAGATGTTTCATGCTTAATATCTTAACTCTAGCTATTTGGGTTTTTTCAAAGAAGATTTTTTAAGTTTTTGCTATACACATATAAGGAAAATCAATGACCCCCGGGGCGGTGCCAATTTTGACCCCAGGGCTTTTATTTCAACAAACTTGGTAGACACCTATTAGAACATGTTTCATGCTAAATATCTTAGCAATAGCTCTTTGAGTTCTTTAAAAGAATTTTTTTTAGTTTTTACTATATGCATATAGGGAAAATCAATGACCCCCCGGGGCGGGGCCAATTTTAACCCTAGGGCTTTTATTTGAACAAACTTGGTAGACACCCATAAGAACATGTTTCATGCTAAATATCTTAGCTCTAGCTCTTTGGGTTCTTTAAAAGAAGATTTTTTAAGTTTTTACTATATGCATATAGGGAAAATCAATGACCCCCCGGGGCGGGGCCAATTTTGACCCCAGGGCTTTTATTTGAACAAACTTGGTAGACACTCACTAGAAGATGTTTCATGCCAAATATCTAAGCTCTAGCTCTTATGGTTTTTTAAAAGAAGATATTTAAAGTTTTTTCTTTCGGTTGCCATGGCAACCAGAGTTCTGCATGGAATTAAATTCTTTGAACAATTTTTAAAGGTGACCACCAAAGGAACATTCCTGTGAAGTTTGGATGAAATTGGAGATGTCATTTAAAATAAAAGTTTACGGACGGACGACGGACGGACGTACGCCGGACGAAAAGCGATCACAAAAGCTCACCCTGTCACTTTGTGACAGGTGAGCTAAAAAAAACTGTATATACTTTATGCATGCCTTGTAAAAAATGTAAAAAAACACTTTTTGTCATTTAGAATTCAGCTTCTTTGTAGATATACATGTATAATGTACAACTCAATTGGGACCTAAAATAACTTATTATCAAGTATGCGTGTATTTGTAATTTGAGAAATATATGCGATATTGCGAAAAATTGATTAAACATAAGGTATGACCATCCTAATGCATTACCTCCGCTTTGAAGAGTATTCTACTGTTAAATACATTGAAACTTTGGGCCGTTGATTCAACTCCCAAAAGGGTCAACTTTTTTTTTCTTTTTTTTTTCTTTTAACATTTTATATGTATCTCTCATATCTTTTGCGGGCAGAAAAAAGTATTTAGTTGTAATTATCAAATTAATATAAGTATTTATTGGCTAAATAATGCTAAATCTAATAACTTATATGGTAATTGATATTTTCAAAGTGCAATAAAATCAAAACTAGACGGTAAAAGTATTTAATATTTTGGTAGATGAAGCAATATGTTTTTGAAAAAACAAATAGGAAAACTTTAAACTAGGCACTCATTTTAGTAAATTTTAGAGATTTTTTTAAATTAGGTTCTAAAAGTAGAAAATTGGTCAAAAATGTGTTAAATAAGGATGTGGTAGGGTACCATTTTTATACATATTTTATAAATTGTGTGTAGAAACAATCATTTTGCTTATGTGGATTGTTAGCTGAATGATACATTTTGTTTCTTACCAAAAGTAAATAGGAAAACATTTTTCATAAGTGATATTTTAGATTATTTAAAGGTTCTTTATTTCTGAAAACGGACCCTTCTAACATCCCAGATTAAATTCAGAAAAGTGGCCATAACTCGATTTCCGTAGTGATGTTTGTTTAAATTTTGCAAACAGGTGTCCTTTAAGGTATATATCTGACCTATGTTGTCAATTTTTCAGTTCCTTATAGTGCCCGTTAGGATGGTCATACCCTAAGTTTCCTGAAAACAACATCTAAATCATGCTCATATTTAAAAAGAAATATATCGACTGAAATTAAACCTTTTCTATTCAAAACGTAATATGTTTATATAAGAACCAGTACCATTCCTGGTTTGGGTTATAACCCTTATAAATTAAACCTTTCCTATTCGAAATGTTATATGTATATGTTAGTACCAGTACCATTCCTAGTTTGGGATAATAACTTTATAAATACAATTAGAAAACCTAAAAAGGATATGATGGTTTGATGGCTTTATTTTACTTGAATGCTTTAAATAGATAATATATTAATAGATAAACAATTCTAAGCATATTTTTTTCTCTGATTTTGTTTTATCTAAGATTACACAAACCTCTTTTCGCATTTTGTGAGTCTGTCAGACTTTTCTGTGAATTCGCGAAAAGCATCCACTACCTCGTCGTCAATAACGTCATTTGTGTTTTCCTTCAAATATTCTATTACCGATGTCAGTATTGCTTTTACACCTGTAAATAAAAAATTATAAATAGGTTACACCAATTTATAATTTTAATCTTGAAATTGTCATTGTAGTATCGTTTTCATAAACATATTTTGAATGTGATTTTGTCCTTTGTGAGTGTTGTTATTTTTCTCTTCAGGCCAGAGAGAAAACAAGATTGCATTTTTAAAAAATGCCATGCCACCGCATAAATACAACACTAAATAGTAATGTAGGAACACATTTTTTTTGGTTTCTATACAGATTGTCATAATGCATAGATCACTTACCTATCTGTTATTATCAGATTAGTACCTTCAGAAATAAGATTTTTAATTTTTTACTTTAAGACATAGTGACTGAAAATCAATGATCCCCAGGGGCGAGGCCAATTTTGGCCCCATGTTCACAAAGATTTAAGGATCAGGATCAAGATCAGGATCAAGTTTAAAAACTCCAATATTCTTCATTGTTTATCCTTATAGATTAAATGTCTCATATTAATTTGATAAAAATTGACTTGCAATAGCAAGTTTATGAACTTTAAGAATAAATTTATTGCTATTTTTGCAAGATATGGGCTTTTTATAGTTGATCCAAATATTGATCCTGATCCTAAAATTGATCCTTATTTTAATCCGAATATTTTTGCATTTGTTTTGTTATTTCTTGATTTTATCCCAAAATAGTTTTGTTTCTTTGCAAATCAGCAATTTTTTACATTTTGAATATTTACCATTTAATTCTAGCAAAACACAATTAATTTTAATAACATAAAAAAGTGAAAATAAAATCAGGATCACTTGATCCTGATCCTGATATTTTCTTAGTGAACACGGGGCCAGGGCTTTAATTTGAATACTCTTGCTAGAGGTTCACTACACAATGTTTAATGCAAAATGTCTAACCTCTAGCCTTTGTCAATTAGAGAAGATTTTTTAAAGTTTTTACTATATACATGTAAGGAAAACCTATGACCCCCGGGGCGGGGCTAGTTTTGACACTAGAGGCAAAATTTGAACAACTTTGGTAGAGTACCTATAGATGATATCATATACCAAATATCAAAGCTCTAAGCCTTGTACCTTCAGACAAGAAGTTTTTTTTTAATTTTTTACTATATGTACATAGTGAAAACCAATGACCCCCGGGACGGGGCCAATTTTAACCCCAGAGCTATAATTTGTACAATCTTGCTAAAGGTTCACTACACAATGTTTCATGCAAAATATCTAACCTCTAGCCTTTGTGAATTTAGAGAAGATGATTTTTTAAGTTTTTACTATATACATATAAGGAAAACCTATGACCCCCGGGGTGGGGCTGATTTTGACACTAGAGGCAAAATTTGAACAACTTTGGTAAAGAACCTATTGATAATAACACATAACAAATATCAAACCTCTAAGCCTAGTACCTTCAGACAAGAAGGTATTTTAAGTTTTTACTATATGTACATATAGTGAAAATCAATGACCCCTGGGGCGGGGCCGATTTTGACCCCAGGGTTATGATTTGAACAATCTTGGTAGAGGTCTACCAGACAATGCCTCATGCAAAATATCTAAGCTCTAGGCCTTTTGGGTCTTTACAAGAAGATTTTTTAAATTTATTCTTATAATTCCTTTTGGTTGCCATGGCAACCAGATTTCTTTATGGAATGAAATTCTTTGAACAAATTTAGAAGCCCTTCACCCAAGGATCAATCCTGCCAAGTTTGGTTGAAATGGGACAAGTGGTTTTTCACAAGAAGATTTTTTAAATTCACTATATAATCTATATAACACACACACACACACGCGCGCGCGCAAACAAACACACACACACACACACACACACAGGTGAATCGCTATATGCCACCGCATCGCAGATGCTGCGGTGGCATTAAAACAAGAACAAAACATTTTTGCTGCACAGCAATAATGTAAAAAGTAGTGATTAAAAAAACATCTATTGTCTGCTATTTTATATTATCATTTGTTTAATTCCTTACCTTTAAATTCTGTTTTTGAGAGTCTGCATTTCTCAAAACTGTCCATCTCTTTCATGATTGAAAACATGTCAACAATTGATTGCCGGAATGTCGCCTGCTCGTGGATACGGTCTTCATCTTTCATTTGAAGGAAGAAATCCATTGTTTTATCTATGAATTTACCACTTTTCAGTATTTCAAAGACGTCATGCAGCTTATCTAGAGCTGAGGTACACGTGAATGCCTTAACTAAAA